AGCTAGTGTTAAATTGGTTGGTTGACTTTATTATTATTATCATCATAAAAAATGGTATATTTAAAGATTTTTGACAAGTATATTTGAATTGAAATTTTCAAGTCAATACCAGAAGAATTGTTTTCGTCACCAAGAAAGTATCATCTTGATCTTATAATTGGAACTTTTTTTCACAACAAACCAATTAAATATCATATTGGAACTGTCAATCTTGATTTAACAACTTCATCATCAGAGTAAAAAGTATATATTGTTGTTTTAAAAACGATAATAGTTATAATTCTGTTAGAATCAAAAAAAAAAAATTTTAAATAAAACTAAACCAAAATTTGGCTTGTGGATTTTGTTTTAAATTACAAGTAAAAAAACTTTTCAATAAACCATTTGGTGCATGATGTTGATCTCACATATAAAAATAAAAAAAATTTTGATTTTTTTTTTTCCAACAATTTCAACAATGCCGGATGTTCTTTTTTCGAACAGTGAAATAGTATATGGACCACGTCCAGAAATAATTCATATTTTTAAATCTTCACAAAAGTTGCCACCATTATGGTTGTCTTATATTTTTTCAGTAATATTACTGATACCTTGGATGTTTTTGATTGGTGCAGTATGTATTATTTACTTATCCGTATATGATCAATATTATTGTTTTATTCTAGTTTATTTATTAACAAACTTTTTTGATATGAAGTGGCTACGTCTTGGTGTTAATATTTTTTTCTTTAAAAACCAACTCATTGCTTCTCTTGCAATACTAGTATTTTTAAGTTCATTATTAGCCATTGAAATATTATTCTATAACTATTGGGTATACTTGAATATTTTTCAAACATTATTTTGGCTAGCAATACTTAGCATTATATCTTTTATCACTGGTCAAAAGGCTTTGGGGTATGTCCAAGATTGGCGGCAAAAAGGTCTTCGTTAATAAATTTCATTTATACTAAACAATCTATTTATGAGCAAGTTTATATATATATATATATATGTATTTATTCTATCAAATAAATAATTGCATTCTATTAATAGTTTAATGAATTTTTATGACTTTATTATTCACACTTTTTTATTATTGCTGTAACATAATAAAGTCAACCAACCAATTTAACACTAGCTTTCCCTGATTCACGAACTTGTACAATAAAAGGCAATTGAATCTTATTGTTATTTTCAGAAGATAAAACTAAAAAGGCTTGGTGAGGTTGGATTCCTTTTTGTGTCTTTTCATCTCTTATAGTAAATATCATTTTTATATCATCTCCTTGATTTAATTGAATAAGCGTGGAAAGTGAATTAGGGTATGTTAAACTTTTGGTAAGAAAAAAATAATAGATGTTATAATTTTATTTTTAAATAACATTTATTATTTTACAATTAAATTCTGAGTTGTGTATCAAATCAATCTACCTTTCGGTTAGTTTTCTAACAGCTTCCGAAGTACTAACAGCTAGTTTAATATCACTCAAATCAAATGCCTTTTTAATCGTTCCTTGTGTTTCTTGTGCTAAAATTATATTGAAAAATGTGAAAACGCCAATAAGAGCAGTGATTGTATTGGAGAATAAACATGACGGGGTTGATGGACTTGCATATTTTTTATATATGACTTCATTTAGTCCATAAGCAAGAGCACCAACCAATGCTATAAAATCTCCCATATTAATCAGACTACGATCTTCATCATTATTATCAAACTTTGAATTTTTATCTGCTGACGGGTTATCATCTTGACTTATATCCCAAAATGTCATAATAGCAACACCCATAATACTTAGGAAAACCGCCAATATCTTTTCTTTTTGCAACGAATCTCCTAATAATAATATTGAGAATACGTAAGCCCAAAAACAACTTGTATTAAAAATTGCAGTTAATTTAGCTGTTGTAGTAAATGCCACGGCAATGTACCAAATATATCCTGGAATACACATACAAATTGCAAACAGTGCAGAGAATTTTAGCACATATTTGATTACATTTTGGTGTTTTTGTGAATTTAAAATATGAAATACATTTGTCGTATTGTTGTCATCGTCGTCGTCGTTACTGCTGCTGCTGCTGCCATCATCATTATCATGATTTATAAGAATTGTATGAGCTGATATGCTCATCTTGTCGACTAATTCATTTCCAACATTAAGAAATTCATTAACATATTCATGAATGTTCATATGAAACATGAATTGAAACGGGAAAACTAAAATATAAAAGCTATGTCCTATCCATCTAAATAAAACAATAAATTAATCGACAATTTAACATATGTTTAAAAATTTAAAAATATAATGGTTTCTTAGACTTACAAAATAAAATATGGCTTGTGATAATTCATTCTTGTTTGAATAAATTGCGCTAATTCCTATTTTAATAAAAGGGATTTTTTTAGTTGAAACTATT